AAAAATGGAGTAAAAATGTTAGGTACAGGATAACTCCTTTTTGGGGGTTATTTTAACTCCTCAATATCTGGGGTCATTTTTACTCCTGAAAAAGAGTTCTTTGAACTCCTTTTTGGAGTTAAAATAACTCCCCAAAAAAATAACTCCACTGTAAGGAGTTAAATTAACCCCACCAGAGGAGTTATTATAACTCCTTGAAAATTACTGTGCAAACCAGCTCTTTCTTTTACGAAACAACCCCTCCCCTTAGAACATGACAAGCAGGCTCAAACCGGTTAAGGCAAGGCGAGTCTGTTGTTTCTATTGTTTCAGAAATTCACCATTTTCACATAGACCATAATACACCTTGTTTACCCCCAAAAATTTTGAAATACAGTCGTTCCAAGAGGAATCGAAGACGATGGTTCTGCAAAATTTGGGGGAAAATAAGATGCATTAAGATGAAAATGGTGAACACAAAAAAGGGAAGGTAGTGGGAATCCACTGCGTTTTATTCATGAGATAAAGACAAAAAGGCTATGGCGTCATCAGTTTTAATGTATTCACTCCTCCGCAAAAAAGGTTTATTCGGTGCGCCTGAAACTGCTTTTACTTAAGGCTGGTTCACCTAAAGAAATGGATGAATAAATAAATAAATAAGAATTTGAGTGGTGGCATTTCATTAAAGTTCTTTTTAGCTCTTTTTCTGCCATCCTGGTCGAACTGAATTGGGAAATGTTGGTTTTTGAAGACACGGGAAGACTGGAGTACTCATAGTAAACCCTCCCTAAGCAAGGTTAAGAAGCATCGTACACTCAACTGACATACAGCGTTAGTATCGACTTCCGCCGCTCTCTTGGGACTGGTCTTGTTCCTTGAGGAGCGCGGGCTCATTTCCTGAATAGTGGGTGCTGGAGGTGGGCAAGGCCCCACTCTTGCACATGTCCATGGCAATACTAAGTTGTATTATAATGAATCCAGTACGAGGAATACTTGAAATTTCTGAAATTGGGTTTTGCACGACTGCCTGTGAATTCAAGGCAGGTGAATTCTGTTCGAAAGAAACAAAAACGAAGCATATCTTTCACTGTGGATCCTTTCTAGAAGCATATCGACCTAACTCGTGCACCCCTAGAGTTTAAAACTTCCCATATCCTGCTTTGTTTTTGTTGTTGTTGTTTTGCAGTTGGTCTCACTTTCAAGGAGAGGGTTTTGCAATTACCGCTGAAGACAACGCGTTGCATAATCTCTATTTAATACATCATATTATGAAAAACTACTCGGAGTTATTTTTACTTCGAGTCTGTCCTCCTCTTTTGAAATTTTAAAGCCATTGAAGAAGTTTGATTGAGCTATTAGGCTTATTCATTGTAAATAAAAGGATAAATGATCAAGAATATATAATGAGCCCTTTGCAGAATACGTTTAAATGGTAAAACACGCCTTGCTGGAGAGGAGCAAGAAAAACACGGATGTGAGCGTATTCTGCGAAGGGCCAATTGTCAGCAATAAAAGCTTTTTTGACATTTTTTGTGTTAAAAGTAGTAAGCGACAGTCTCTTATCCGGGTATTTTATCCCGTAAATTAAGACTAAACAACTCGATCGCATTTAGTTCTTCTCTTTTGCCGTAGAAGGTAAGCGGTGCTAAGAATCTTCCCCTGTTGGTACCACACTCGTTCCGGTATCGGCTCGCACACGTTGAGTCGGTTGCCTTGACTCAAGTCCAAAGGAATCTAAGTCACTTGTTGACGAACTACGGCGAAGGAGGCGACCGTTTTCTCCTGAACATGCGGTGGTATTCAGAACCGCAGCAACTCTCATCACCAGTCCGCTTTCTTTATTCGATTTCTGTTGTACGCCCATTCTCTTTAATTCCTCTCTCAGCTGTGGTATAATAAAAAAAAACGAAGCAACAATTTATGATTATAATTACAATTATTAAATCTTTAGCAAATCCAGGGCGCTTATTTTTAGCTTTGTTACTCAAAGGAGACGCTTATGTAAACGAACTTTCCACAAGTGATAAACTATAGAGGTTTTGCTTGACACGTGGTGATGGAGTCGTTCTCAGCAGGACAATAGGATTTCTTTTTAAGTACTAGACTTACAGTTTCCTTAACTGAGTTTCTTATCGCCTGACAGTTTCTCTGTCGCTTCACTTTTCTTCTCTTATCTCTCTCAGTTCCTTGGCTGCTTTTTATCCTTTAGTTCTCACTATTCGTGTTCTTCTTCATGCGATTAGAGCGGTTTTCATTTGAGTGTCGAAAAGTAATTGGTTTTGCACTTTCTACACGATGCGATTGGCTTAAAAGATTCGCGTCACCTTTTCATCCAATCAGAAGTAAAACCAAAGCCAATTGTGACGCGCTCGCATGCATTTTCCCGCGCTTTGCGTCAGCCACATGTAATTACTTCGAGTTTTGATTGGTTCAATGTATTGTCTGTGTCCTATGTGATTGGCCAGAGTAATTACTTTGGTTTTGGTTTTACGACACTCAAACGAAAACCACTCTAATCACAGACTTTTCCTGTTTTTATAGTCTATCTCTTTTAATTTATCTGATTATAGGTATTACTCATTAACATTCAATTAACACTAAAGATAGAAATTAATTAAACCAATGTCAATGTCCGAGCATTAAAGCTGATTCCAAAAGAGATAACTGTTAATATATCAAAACATCAGCAGTCCATCTTCCATAGTAATAAAAATTAGTTAAATTAAAGATGGTTAATCTTATCAGTTTGCATATTTACGTAAAATCAAAATTTCTGGAAGCTAAAAGATTATTCATGGAAAGAGCGCATTTACTTCTGTAACACTTATTCGAGAGAGGGTGCTTATTTCATTTTGAACAGAAAACCGAATTTACAAAGCTTCAATAGTAATTTAAATGGAACAATAACAGAGCTTCAGCAGAAACAAATATGCGGAGAATGTTTTGCTGAATGGAATGTGAAGCAATTTTGTAAATGAAAAACTTAGACGAAGCTAAGACCACTGCTTTTTTTTTTTTGTTAGCAAATAAAGCAGGAATCAAGTAATAATTGCGCTTTTCAACGTTGTGACATTTTCGCGCTTGATATGTGCTCTAAACCTATACTTTGCTCAAAAATTGCTCAGAAAGGTAAAAAATTGCTCCAAAAGCATTCCTCAAAAGTTGGGAAAAGCCAATGAATTGCTGCGACTTTCTGTTTTTATTGTTTTTATATTTTAAAACAATAACTGCCCCTCCCCTCCCCCCCAATAAAACTTTAAAATGTTATTTTTATGCTTTTTTTTATCGACAAGGCTATTACAGAGGTTAGTTTTACTTTAGTACTTTAAATTTTAACAGGGTAAGGGTCGTTTTCTTCCATCACTGTGGTTAGTTTAGCGTTTTACTTTAAGATCTATCCTCGTATTTCCTAGCATTTCCACGATCCCTTTGAAATTTACAACTACCAGTTTATTTCTATAACAAAAACAAGTGAACGGTCTCGTACCGTCTTTAGCTTTTTCATCTGCTGTAGTTGATACATGGCCCATCGCCTGTTATAATTTTGCCAAAAAAACCGCATGTTAGAAAACTGAAATGTCTTAAATCTTTGGTTATGCGAAAGGACGTAACTGGAGAACGAGGGACGAGAAACACGAACTGTGACGAAATTGGAAGGTCTAGTTTTTCTTTGAAACATTTCATCCCCAAATAAAAAAGGGTAATTAACTCACAATTCGCTAAGAGCATATGGGCCTGAATTTCAGATTTCTCCTCGAGTTGCAAACTCCCAGCAGTTTGCGACTCGAGAATACAGCTGCGATTCAGGGTTAAGGTCAGATACATCCATGTGGAAACTTTACGTACATAGGGGGTTCCTGATGAATATGTTGTCTTTCAATAGTATGGACCAATTTCGATATAATTAAATTTACACTTGGTGCCGAGGCTAAGGGAATAAAACAAACGAAATGTATTATTCACTGCTGAGCTCCAAGATGATTTCTTTCGTTTTTTTCCCAGCCCAACCCTTGGTGCCAAATCTGAATTTTATATCGAAATTGGTCTATTTTATCCTTGGTTTAAAATTCATTTTTGATTGTTCTAAACTCATTATCATACATTACCATACACAAAACACAGAAAAATAAACTTTAAACCAATTGAAACGCACCACGTACATATCCTGTACAACATATAGTATATAACGGTAAATGACAAAATCAGAGATCCAAGACAAACAAATATGTCTCCTGGGCATTATTTTTGAAGTTGCAAACAGCACGAATCAACTTTGAAAAACTGTTAGGCTGAACAGTTTTCAAAAACCCTAATTTCAATCTGTTTCAGTCGTCTTCAGTTTTGCCCATCCGTGGCATCTGTTGTTTCTGTTATGTTATTTTAACCTTCTTTTAAAGTTTTAAGCGGTTATTTTTATGTTCCCTTAATTTAACGGGCATTTTGTAATTTCCTAATTTGGCTAAATTTCGTGACACAGTTTCTAACTTTAAGCGGGTTGAATTTAGACAAAATGCAAGGCCTCTTATTCACGGAGACAAAGCAAACTGTCCGTAATAATGGTCCGTAATAGATGTCCATATTAAGCGGTTGTCTGTAATTAAAGCGGAGTTTGACAGTGCATCGAAAGTGGCCGCTATTATAGACTGTTCACAGTTCTCTATTTTTCCGTAAGATCGTCGAGATCGAGCGCTTTGCGTTACGAGCTGCAATCTTGCATGAGTGTCAAAACTACTTAGGGGGCGGGGGTGGTTTGGTTCTCGCCTCCCTCCCCCAAGAGCTATAATTCCCGACGCCCGCCCCCTCGGTACATACGCATTTGAAAATCAAGATAGCCATCATTAACGATGGAAGACGCGCTATATCTCGACGATCTCACCAAAAAATAGGGGACTGTGAACAGTCTACCGCTATTAGGTAAGACCAAAGAAACAATCAAGAATCAATACAGTCTTGTTTGAAACAGTATTGTTTGGTTTCTTCTTTTCTTTTCTTTTAACTAGTATGTAATTATAAAAAATCAATTAAACCCTGACCGTTTCTACTTCTTCTCTCAGCTGTTGATTCTCTTCCTCAACTTGAGCGCTATTCCGCAATGCATCAAAGGATGGCACATGAAGGAACTGCCTGTTTGATGATCCACATGCCGTGCTGTTGAGACCACGTCTAAGAGGATTCTCATCCGGATTTTTGTATATTTTGTAAACCTGAGAAATATGAAATTAAACTATCTAAGCATTTGATACAAACTGAGTACATGAAAGTGTGGATTAGTTCCGACCATTTAGCTGAGAGCATCAAAGAGGCATTTTTCTGTTATGCCGTGTACGGGTTTACACAGATTTTTAAACTTTCTGAAACTGGGGATAAAATCCTGGCAAAAGTGACTGTTACATAAAGCTACTGAGCAGACTACGTTCCCTGTTGATGGTGTTAACTTTGCTTTACAGTATGAAGGTTCTGGTATAAAAACAAAGGCAAATAATGAGACAAGGTTGTTTTCATTTAAACCACTACTAAAGCGTCCTTACCTTAGGTATGAATAGTATTCCAAGAGTCAGCGTCGTGCAAAACAAGATGACTGCACAGATGAGGCAAAAACTGATGGTGGGGTGGCTGTTGGCGAAGAATGACACAGGAACACCAATTGCACACAAAAGCACCACGTTATACACGCTGATGCCGATGAATCGCGAGTCATTCAGAGCAGGGATAGAAACCTTTCGAGTCCCAATTGCGAGAAACAGGCCAAAAATAAGCAGAAGGCTGTGAAAAGTATAAAATACAATAATCCAAACTGTGAAATGAGGGCCATAGCACTCCTCACGGTAAAGAATCGTCCTGTAATCGCGATCCTCAGACACCTGTAGGTGAAATGAGAAGAAATCAGAACGAACCTACAAGGGGTCGTTTTTGATCTTGCCGAAGGTAAATAGATTTCTTATTCATCTCAAGAACATACCAGTTAATATAATTTTTGAACTCTTTTTGTCTGTTATCAATTGAGTGTGTGTTTATACTTGCTCCTTAATTTTTTTTAACGTACACAGTTTGTTATCCTTCGCCTTTGTATTTTCCTTGTTTGCTTTTACGCCCGTTGAGGGGGGAGGAAACCCAGAGGAAGTTTGGGTAGAGATGTACTTCCAAGCCTTTTAAACCCTGGCGCTGTTTAGAACAAAATTGCAAAATTGTTCCTTAAAAAAATTTTTCAAACTAACATTATGGAATTAAAGAAGTTAGTTTTTTTCTAATTATTAGCACTTCAACTGCAGACGTCTCATCGCCAACTAGAGTTCACGTGCGTTTTCCTGTTGACATCTACCATGGCTAGGTACCAAATGTTAAATCACTTATTAGTACTACCAAGTCTTACCGAGCGAGTTCCTTCCGTCTGAATTATGACGTTCCTGCTGGGGGGATGCAGGGTCATCCAGATCACCAGCAACAAAGCATCAACAAATACCAAAGCCCCCAACAGCCGGAACAGATCAAAATCACGAACCACCTGTTGAGAGGGGGTAATAACAGATATTAACAGTCAATAATTAACAAATAATGCGCTCATGCCCGTTGGAATGAAACATATCGGAATCTCGAAAAACCTGCAAGAGAAGGGCCTCCCACGCAGGTATTTTTAGGGGGGGGGGGTCGTCTTTCATCCAGGGATGTACAACATTTTGAAATGTCAGTACCTTTTAAGATAATTCCATTTATATCTCCACTCCTTCGCAAGACGACATTCATCTCAGAGAAATTCTGATTCTATCTTATTCAACCCCCCAGGGGGGGTACTTGGGATTTCAAGTGACGGGGATGATGAAATGGAGCCAAAAGTCAAGACCCAAAAAAATCCCTAGGGCTTCCAGCAGAACCCAAAAAAATCCCTGGACCAAAAATGCAGACTATTGTATAACACGTGCGATGTAAAGCGACACCATAGTTAACTATTAAACAACAGCAAAACACGTTTGTTTGTACTTTATTCGGAGAACTACGCAGCCAGGGCACTACCGATTCTTTCTAATACCCAAAAAAATCCCTACTCAAATCAAGCTACCAAAAAAATAATTGCCAAATTTTCGTACCCAAAAAATCCCGAAATCGAAAATTTCAAACCCAAAAAAATCCTTCCATCATCCCCGTCACTTGAAATCCCGAGTACCCCCCCTGGGTTCAAACCTATCAAAGAAATATGCTTTGGCGGTTGATGTATGATTCTATGTCTTTCTGGTCTTTTTTGTATTTTTTCTTGATCTGTTTTTTGTCCATGAAAATAAAATGTTCATGAGCAAATAGCATGTAAAAATTATTAAGTTACCTTTCTCACTTTCTTGATATTGGTGAAAATTTGATGAACTCGCCACGTTTTCGAGAACATTGCCCCAAATCCAACTGTAAATCCAAGGGATAATAAACAGAATCGGGCCTGAAAAAAAGCATTTTTCTATTTAATTATTTGTCCAGTTCATAGTGCGTATTTTGTTGTTGATGGTGGTGTACATTATCGGCATTGTTACAATTGCAATAAAATTGTCCGGTGTTGTGGAGATTTTCTTTTAAGTTATCACTGTTATTTAGCCGTACAATGCATAGTCACTGCCGACAAAATCACAGTGTAATCATCTCATGACAACTCAGCCGCTATGAGCTTATGCCTTCATTCAATATGATATCGCCATAGCATCACTATTTGTTAGTTAGACTCACACGGCAGACGTAATTGTAACTGAGTGGTGACAGTCTTCCATCCAATCCATATATAAACACAGTAGAATACATCATGATGCCTCCAAGAAGAATCACGTTATTTAGGTTTGGACTTGATAGTTTTATATACCTGGGGAAAATATAAGATAGCATGCTTTATTCTGTCGGCATAGGTGCCAATCAAACATGCATTTTGGGGGTATCCTTCCTCGAAGTAAAGAAGACGGTCATGATCTTAATAATGGCAAGGTCGGATCGATGGTCGGTATCATGGTCATCATAGTTCTAGTCATAAAGAATTTGTGGTTATAGTCATGGTCATCAAGAATGTGCTGGCCATAGCCACGGTCATCAAGAATGTGGTGGTCGTAGTCATGGTGATAAAGAATATGGTGGCCATAGCCACGGTCATCAAGAATGTGGTGCCATAGTCATGTTCATCAAGAATGTGGTGCTCATAGCCATCTTTATGGCTCACCTCTATCATATACGTCATATTTCAAGCTTCTTATTGGTTAAAGTTTTTAATCTTTAGTTTTTGAAACAAGGGTGATTAGACACTAACTTTTTCTTCCTATAACGAAGATTGAATCCCAATAAAAAGATCGCTAGAGCAATTCCGAGAGTACTCAGACAACTTGTTAAAATGATCAGCCACATGGATATCTTGACATACTCAGTCACTGTGATTGTCTTGTCAAGAGGAATTCTACCATCTGTGAACAAAATAACAAAATAAGTATGTTCTCCACATATATTAAACTATTATATCTGCAGTATGCTTGATGCCTTTTGAACAGAAAGAACTGCATATCCCTTCATTTTTTTTAGGCCATTAAAGGAATCAATAACATAAGTAATAAGTTTTTCTGACTAATCTGGGGCACTTTCATCATACGAAATGTTGTAACGTAAGATTTTGCGTTTACATTGGTGTCCATTTCATCAATGTGAAGTCAGTACCTAAGAGCTAGGCATTCATATCTTACTCGCTTTCTATCTTCTATCATGTATTTATTGTCACTTGGCTTTGTAGTATGAAATGTAGTTATTACACGAAAGGAACCTGTTAGTTGTCTTAAAAATTCAGTATTCGAGCAATGTGCAGCGAATATCACGGCCAGGGGCTGAGATTCCTTTCGCGTCTTAAACGTCATTCAAGCTCCTTTCACTTCGTCGAGTGTGAAGTTCTTGCCTCAAGCCAAGATAATTAATATACAGCAAGGATATTAATTTTAGGCTAATAAAGTAGTTACCTGGCCAAACATTTCCTTGACCAAAGAGCTGAAGCTTTTTGACGCGTGCGTCGTAGCAACCAACCTTCACCGCGCGGCCATCTGTGAACAGGAAAGCCAGCAACTGTCATTACACGACTTCCCAGGCTGTGTTTGCATTTTCTCATCGTGCTGAGTATTCTGTCTCTTATTTCTTTTTCTCGCCAAATCTAATCTTAGCCCTGAGGGTTTGCAAACACGTTTTTGAAGCTGTTAGGACCGGATTTACAGTTGGTATCTTTTTCTAAGTGTAAAGCCATTCGGCTTTCCTTCTTAATCTAAGTGTGACAAAATGCTGCTGTTCTTCTTTGACTCAATGCTTAATTATAACTTCCCTCATCGTAATTTTGAAATCACCCGAGCATTTATCCAGTTGCTATGAGCAAATGTTATGATGCTAATCAATAAAATTCTAGAACACAACTGGTTCTAAAGGTGCGGGAAAACGGGCAACAAAAAACATTCAGCTTGTCTTGCAACATTGATGCAATAAGAGTTGAATAGCGATGTTGCGCGTTTTGCCACCCACATCAAACTTGTCTTGCAACAAATTAGGTTTTTGCTGGTTGCGAAAAGTTGTTGCAGAAAGTATACATCAGTTCTACTTTTTGCAACAAAATCTGTTTCAGAAGTTAGTATTCACGCAACTTGCAAAAACCGGATTTGTTGCATGACAGGTTTGATTTGTGGGTGGTAAAACGTGCAATATTTCATTCCAACTCGTTGCAAAACAAGTTACACGTTTTTGTTACCCACTTTACTGTCCCTTAAGGATGTAAAAACGTGTAAATGATGTCAAGCACACCAAACGACCGGCTTCTGCAAGGCCGAATGCCACGGCGTTCGCTAGGTCTGAGGCTTAGTCTTAGCACAGTATATATGGCAAGTACCTGGATGCTGTTGAAGAATTTCCACCATACCATCATACCGGTCGCCGTCATCAAAAAACGCGACTTCTCCCTGAAAACGAAAACAGTTTTCGAACTGGCTTTCACATCGCTTTCTCTGCAGAAGGCTTTATTCGAGCTATGTGGTCGCAGTTGCTATTTAACAAATAAAAGATACAACAATGCAAAAATATTTCAACTTACAGTAACTCCAAGAAAGTGTATGTCTTGAATGGTCTGTACAAACAACTTGGTCATTTCCGTCTTATTACGGTAAAAGTCTTGCAACTCTAGCCCTATGGACTTGAGAACTGGTATAGACTTGTTCAGTGACACAGCTACAGTCCACACAGCATCGTAAGTGTAAGCGGTAATGTTTGGTACTCTTGATAAGTTTAACTTCTTTAATCTCTCTTTATACTGTTCATAAAATTGCCTGGTTGTCTGTGGATAGACACAATAGCCCCTTAAAATCAATTTCGTCGTTAACACAACATAACATAACATAACGTATTTATTCAAGATGACGAAAATAAGAATTATAAAACATCTTGAAAAGGAAAACTGGATGTTGCCCCTAAGACGTTTCCCTAAATAGAAAGTCAAAACAGATATTAGCTATGTATAACATAGAATATATAAAATAAAAAAACTATTTACAAAAATATAAATTGGATCTTCAACGATCAATAATAACAATAGATGAGAACAAGAAAAATAACCAATGGATATTTAGGAAGAGCTTCACCGCACTCTTAAAACGGTTCAGGCTCCCAGCCTCAACAATAGATTCCAGTCCCGCATGATTCGGATAGGAAAAAAAATTTATAAGGATTGCACTTTGCCGGCTCAACATATAGCTAATAAGGGTGGTTAGCACGGGTTAATTGCCCTTGGTAAAATCAAAAAGATCGTCAAGGTTTAGTTTGTTCACGCAAAAAACGATCTTGTGGCATTCAACTAAAGAAAGAAACAATTTATACGTTTTGAGTGTAGGCCACTTTAGCTTCCTTTAACGATCTTCGTATTCCATCTCCCCACGTTTTTTCCCGAGACCAAGCCGAGAGGCTCTTCTTTGAACTTTTTCTAACGGTAGCACATCCTTAGCCAAATATGGATTCCAGACCAAAAACGCCAGGTTTGTTTGTCATTTACGTCTTTACCTTCAAGCACCGCCCTCCCTTTTTCACGTCATAAAGGCGCATGATCACACCGGATTTACAGGGCTAGGAATACAGGCTAGGAATTTTGGGAGAAATCAACGTATTTATGTTTCCCTGGCAACAGTACGGTCCAAACCAACGCGACCTGTGACCTCCACAGTAATGGTAGCAATATAAGCGCATGAAAGAATCTCTCATACGTTTCATGAGCATTTCTATTCGCTCAAATGTAAATGGCTATGAGAAGATGGAAAATAAAATAAGTAGTAAAGTTAACGAAAAAGGTCCCTGGCGAATAAAGCCATGCCATAGCACACGACAATTATGCCAAAGTCTTATAAGAGATAAGCAAATACTCACTAGGCCTGAAAGTGTTTTGTTCTCTTTTTCTTTCTCTTCTTCGGTCACAAATATTTGATTATTGAATATGAATGTGTATGCTACAGCTTTCTTCATTTCTTCCTTGGTACAAGTCAGAGTAGGGTCTGGTACCGACCACCAATTGTGCGTGTACGTTCCAATCAGAATCCAGACATACCGAACTCCATACAGGTTTGACTTGTATGCCTAAAAATGAAAACACTTCCGAATTTGTGTACTGGAAAGTTAAAATGAACGATCAATATCTGATCAATTAAGATAACAAATAGCAGGGAAGAGAGTGGCACAGTGCTCATTCCGTGAACATAACTATTTTTAGAATTCATCCAAGATCGGAGGCATACACTCTTTCCAGGAAATATGAAAGAAGGCATGCAGTGAAAGGCTACCATAACATAAGGACAAAATTTTTCATTCATTTTCGAAAAAGGGGGGTGCCTTTAATACACCTTTTCCTAAATTACCTGACAGAAGACATGCCTCGCCTGTGCTTCATAAAATGTTCCAACAATAATCCGAGCGTCATTTCGCTGCAAAAAATTTCAGATATCGAGATATATCATCCTTAGCGGAAGAAGACAATAAAATGCCTCTCACTCTCAAGATGCTCCTGTTACAACTGCGTATCAGAAACAAAAAATCGGAAGAAACGTAGAAATGAATATTCCAGTTTAAATAAACCCTTTTTTCTCATTCTTCCATCCTGCTTTTTACACGATGAAGTGAATATCAAAATATGGTGCAAATTATTCTCTACAGTATGTATTTCTCAAATTAAATGAATTCGCCATTTGCACATTTCCCATAATACCCCTTGTTTGACCCCCCCCCCCCCCCCCTTCCCCCCAAATTTTTTGGTAACCTTTTTTTTTTATTTTTCCTTGGGGTTTTTGGGTTTTTTTAAAGGAAATTAAAAAAAAAAATTATTGAAAGTTTTTTTTTTTTTTTTTTTTTTTTTTTTTTTTTTTGGGGGGGGGTTTGGTTTATTGTGGTGTTTTTGCAAAATGAACTGTGTGTATGTTTTGAGGGGCACACTTTTATCCAGTTTCGCGGGGCAACGTCTTAAATTTAAAACAATACAAAAAAAAACCCACCCAATGTGGCAAAACCCCACTCCCCCCCCCCACAACCCAATAAAAACCCCAGTTTTACCCACCCCCCCCCCCCCAAAAAAAAAAAAAAAACAAAAACAAAAAAAAACTTTGCATAAGTATTGTCTTTAATTTCTCTTCAGATGACCACAATACCCACAGGAGAAATTAAAAAAAAAGGTTACGCAAAATATTTGGGGGAATGGGGGGGGGGGGGGGAAAAAAAGGGGGTTTGGGGGAAAGGGGAAAAGGGGGAATTTATTTTATTTTAGAAAAACAAATAGGGGAAAAAAATTTTAAGATGGGAGAGAAAACCGGTGGAAACACAAGAACACAACAAAACCCATTGCAAATATATCAAAATGATTATTTCATATTTATCTTAAATCATCTTTTTATTTTCCTACCCCCCCCCCTGACCCCACCATTTTTATCCCCTTCTTTTTTTTTTATTTTCCCTTTTGGTTTTCTTTTCATTTTAAGATAAATTTAAAAAATTATTTTTTTAAAGTTTTTTTTTTTTTTTTTTTTTTTTTTTTTTTTTGGGGGGGGGGGGTTGGGTAAACATGGTGTATTAATGGAGATGTGCGAGTGGCGAATGCGGTTATGCAACACTGGGTCGATGTTTTGTCGAATTGCTCTAACTATCAGACGCTTGCACAGGAAACTGGATCAAAGTGTGTCCCTCAAAACAGTCCCATAGTGCAATTCGTCACAACACCCACCCAGTCCCTAGCGCGACCCAAAAATGGCCTCACCTCAAGCGTTTTCAGCTGAAGATCGATTTGTTGATTACCCGTTACTTCTTCAGACAAAAGAACTGTTCTATTTATTTTTTTTAGTTCTCTGATTACTTGGCTGTTGGATTGCGATGCCTTAGAGGAGACAAAAACAAAATAAATTTATGAAAAGAAATGGTTTGGACCGGCAGAAAAATGTATAAAAGATACGACGAAGGGAACCCACGTCATTATAAGGTGGCACAAAGTGAATTCGCGTTTCTTTAAAATGACTCTCAATCAATTCTGAGAAAAGCACCAAACTGAACGAGTGGAAACTTACCAGGTCACTCCTTGTTTTTTCAAACATTGTTGCAATTCTTTCCCAACCAAAATGTTTAATCCACGCCACTCGTGCCAGGTTTCTCGCAGATTCCGAGGGCAGGGCACGAAATAGCGTTGGAAATCTATTTCTGTTTGATAATGCCAGAGATCTAGACGCATAAGAAATCTAAAATGGGAGGTAATCATTGTAGTTAGCAAGGAAAATTTCAGGGGTACAGACAATTACGAAAAAACAGCGAACTGATAGACAAAAGGATGGGAAGGCCAATTGAAACGACTTTACCGGAGGAATAGCCGACTAACTGAGTGACTGAACCCCAACCCTCTCCCCCCCCCCCCCCCCCCCCCCGCCTGACTGCCTGGCTGCCCGGCCGACCGCCCGGCCCGCCGAATGACTGACCGACGGCCGGACTGACTACCTAACCGCCCGGCCAACCAACTGACTGAATTGCTCGGTTCCCCCACCACTACCCGGCGGACTCCCTCCACGCCTTACGTCTTACATTGTAAGTAGCAAGGAAAATTTCAGGGGTACAAACAATTACGAAAAAACAGCGAACGGAAAGACAAAAGGATGGGAAGGCCCATTGAAACGCCTTTACCGGAGGAAAAGCCGACTAACTGAGGGCCTGAACCCCCACCCCCCCCCCCCCCCCCCTCTCTCCGCGACTGACTGACTGGCTGACTGGCTGACCGACTGACCAGCTGAATGACTGACTGACGGACTGAATGACTCACTAACTGACGGGCTAACCGACTGACTGAATGACTAGCTTACTCGCCAACTGACCGGCTGACTCAATCACTGACTTACTGCTTTACCTACTGACAGAGAGGGCTAGAATGTCTGGCTAAGTGACTGACCAACAGTTACTGAAGGAATTAATGACCGATGACTGTCGGTACTGACTAGCTTACTAACTGACGACTCTGAGTGACCGAAGACTGAGGGATCCATCGGTTAAATGATTTAACTGACCAAAATCAGACGGCATTGTTTGATGGCTGCTTGTTTGGCTAAATGATTTGGCTTAATTGTCTTCTGAGTGACTGAAATCATGTTTAGCTATACATAACTGTCTGGTTGTCTGACTGACGAGGTGAAGGATTAAAAACTCATTCAAACCTATTGAATGAGCTGGATGACAACCCCACTGATAGTTGGAATGATCAATTATCGATGGACTAATTTGACTGGGTGGAAGAGAATGACTTTGACGGTCCGCAGACTAATTGGCAGATACAACCAGCTTGGCGGCAAAATTTAACAAACCTGTGCTAATTTCCTGTATGCCGACATCTCAGCCAAAATTTCCGTGACATCCGAACATGCCGCTCCAAATGCCATTAAACTGTTGGGCTCCTCTGACAGCAGGTCCATAAACATGTTGGCGGTATAAGCCGGGTCACACTGATGAGAGTGTTAAATTGTATCAATTTTTATTAAAAACTGAATCATTGGATAATGCAATTCTAGAGCTCTGATTGGCTTAGCCATCATGGTATATTTAACAATTAAAGCTAGTTAAAGCTAGACTTTAAGCCTTTTTTGCGCTTTTCGCTACTAGGGGGCTATAACATATAGCCTAGTAGTAGCTCAACCAATCAGAACGCAGCATTGATAATATACCGCTAGCTGGATTTTACTAATAGCCATTATAGTTATAGTCAGCAGAGGTATAATTTAGCTGTGTTATGCAAAAATTAATGTCGTAACCTCTCAATCAAAGCCTCTAGTGAATACTACTTTCCTGCTGAAACAGTGGTGTCAACATCCCTACACCACTCAACCCTGAGCCGCCCACTTACTGTTAGGGCTGCCCTTCGGCTATCTACCTGTACCGACCTTGACACCACAGTTGCCTGAAACCGAGCTGCGCCCGGCGCCAGGCGAAAACCTACTGGCCAATTGATAAAAGAAGGATCTGGGAAGCTAGAGTATACACAATGACCAAAGTAGATTGAAAGCAATCGTTAGGTGGACAACTGAAGAGGTCATAAGACAAAACTAGTTTTGCAAAACGCCTAGACAAATTAATCTGTTAAAGTGGATCCTGATTAGATTTTTCTTTTCTCTGTTAACATAATGTTAAGTAGAAGTAACAATTTCTTGGCGTCAACGAACAAAATCTCGCAGAACTGTTAGGATGAGAGACTCCTTAATAGGGACAGCCTCTAAGGAAGTCAACATCAGACTGACGTCATCACACTGACGTCAGTCATTGTTACAAGCAGTCCAAATCAGAACTACACTCGCTTGGACTTTTTTTGTCACAACTGCGTCACACTTATACTTCCGAACTTTGAACTAGCATGTCAACAGTCACGCTTTTGAACACGTGGTAACATTACTTCGCTACACACCTTTGAGTCCTTGACAATCATATTCAGCTCATAATCTTGCAGTACGTCAGACTTGTTCACGTGATCTAGAGCCAGTTCTGCCGCTGCCAAAAGCGCTTGTCCTGGGACTGATGCTTTGTTTGGACTTAAGGGAAAGAAGCCTCCTATATAGACAGGTATCTTCTGGGATGATTGAGTTATCCACAACAAGAGGACAAGCAGTGGCTTCAGAAGTTTCATTGGTCAGCCGTTCAAGGACGAAACTGGTTCAGTGTGCATTCGATCAGATAATTGGATCTATCTGTAAAAAAATGAGAACATGGTTAGCTTCTGAGTTGCTGACTCGTATGAGCCAAATCCGTCGTGTTGGTAGTATTTGAACATTCTGACAAGCGTGTCCAATAAACGTTATGACGTCAAGTATGCTCTCTCTTGCGAGATGCGCTGTTTCTTGACTGTTTCTTGGGTTCGCTTCCCTTAGAGGCACTTAAACTAGTCAAAAGTAAATTGTAGACAGCCTCCACGCTTTCACAATGTATCAGTCATCTGGGCGGAATTACTTGATCCCCCGAAATCAATTGATTACGTGCCCTTGCCCTAATTATGTAAATTAATTGCAGGCGACAAGAGGAGCCTACATTGCCGTCAATCCTAATCTCCAGGTTGCTATTACGCATTCTCCGCACTGTAGCCAGCAACTAAGGATGAATGGAATGCATCGAAGGTAATCTGCGATCACGCACGTTGGGACCTTCCCTCACTTGTAATTTAATCACGCGTGTTCTGATTATCTATCACGTGAAATTTACATAAAGCACAGCATTTGAGCTAAAGCGTTTTGACCTTCGGTCGTTGTCGCCCTCACCCTATACCTTTTGGTTATTCAAATTTGCCCAGAGTAAGTTTTTTAAACGTATTTAGGCTCGATGCCAAGAATTTCTCCTTTTCTGATTAGGCTGAGGAGTAAAAAACAAAAGAGGAAGCATCATTTGAGATTCAGGGATGAATGATCCATTTCCGTTTGTTTTATTGCCATTAGCCAGAGCCCTGGAGCCAAGTATCTGAAGTATGAATTTAAGCAATTCGAAACTGGCCAACAGAGTGTTTTCACTCACGTGAGAAGCAGTTATTCAAATAGTATCGGAACAAAACAAGGTTTTTACTTAAGAAAAAGGTTAAACTGTGAAAGGGTTGAACCCAGGAGCCATTTCAAAAGTAGGTTGAGTTTGATCGTCCGGGTGAACGTAGTCCTGAATAGGACTGTTGTTGTTGACAGTGACTGACGTTTCGACAACCTGTGCGGTAGTCATCTTCAGAGATGAAGATGACTACCTAACATTCGAAATATAAGGATTTGTATGGGAAAAAACTATCGTTTCCGTAACATATGAAAATGAAAGGATTTCAATAAAAAACAGCTTACCTTACGTAAAATGTGTGTTATGTTATGTTAAATGTGTACCTTGGTAAACCTTTATATATAGAGAAAACCGTTTACACTACAACCCATAAAACGGCCATAAATCGGCCCATGGACCACACAGGAGAGACGTAACACACATTTTATGTAAGGTAAGTTGTTTTTCGTTTTCCTAGGTTACGGAAACGAAGGTTTTTTTCGCATACAAATCCTTATATTTCGAATGTTACGCAACAATGCCGATGTTCGCCGATGCGTACATTTCGAACATGAGCTACCTGTGAATCTACCCGTTAGAGAAAAAATTCATTGGAACAAGGTAAAAGTCGTGTGTTGCCTACCGACCCCTTTTTTACACACTGCATATGCCAGGTAGTAACTGGAACGGGAGTGATTTTCCATAGCCAGACGGCAAGACCGCCAATATGTCTTTCCTTTGCATATAATTTAAAATGCCCTCTCTTAGTTCCGCACTTATTTCCTAGCTCCACACCATCGAATGTTCCAATGACTTCAGTTATTGCCTCATCTAAATCTTCCGTTCATACAGGCATCTGATATTTCTAATTCTCTTCCAAGAAGCAAAAACGTACGTGACGTGTGTTGGATTGCTTGGAATTTGATCTTCGTCACCTTCAAACCACCCGCGTCCCGATCACGCGCCTATTGTGATTGTAATCCAATCAGAGCATTTGAAACATTCGACCTCTCCAAGGAACCAATCAGCAAAACATCCAGATTCTGGATGTTTTGGTATAAGCGGGGTTGTAATTGGCTCGGCGCTATCAAAGGGATGGCGCTTTGTTTCGCGCGGGTCACTTTTTAAGACTTGACCGAAACCGGAAACCGCGCATGAAAAGCCTCTGGCACCTAGGGTATGTCAAGAAATCTCAGACGAATAATCGGGACGAAAGGTTTAGTAATGTTCGTATTTTTAACAACATAAGCGCATATTCTTTGTAACGGAATTGAGTATCCCTCAGAAAAAAAAATCTGTAGAAAATTTAAATCGTTTCTCTTTTGCCAGTCGAATAAAGCAGCTTGCGAACAGTGGCGTATTTGCGACTGTCAATCCCGGTTAAATAGAAACTTACGGCCCTACAAAAAATCTGAGAAAATTGACACATGTTTTTTCGAAATGTATTGTAGGTGGTGAAAAAGCTTGCACGATTTAAAAAGATCATAAACGGAAAGCGTTAATTGTAAATCATCTCCATATGTTGTCAGAAAGTTTTTCTAGGTGTAAGTGCTTTGTGTACTTACCGTTCATCGCTTTCGTTTTCTTCCGTTGAAAGAATGAAAAACGTTTTCATCATGGACAACTGTAAATTTTTTCCACAAAGATTTTATACCGTGTTGCCCATCCAATTACCACATTTTTCAAGCCGGATACATGATCATACTCAGTAAATAATGCTAAACTTTGAGTTCATCCGAAAAAACTGTAATGAAAAAAAGTTGCCTGGTCAAGATGCGAACTTGTTTCTCATTTTCAAAGGAAATTGTTTATTGTGATTTTAATTTCGTCTGATTTTGAATATACCGCAACAGGGAGTGTTTGGGTCGCAGGACTTTTTCATGGAAAATTTCATTTTAGTGTTTGGTTTTCCTGCCAATTTTGATATGATTTCAAGAGATAACTCGAACGAAAATGGAGATTTCACTTTTCGATAGATCTTGAAGCAACTGTGTTTGCTTTCATTGCTGCCAATTGAAAACATGAACAAAAACTTTCAAATGGTAATACGCAAACATGACAATTTAATGAACTTACTTTGACAACAAAAGAGAAAAAAAGCAACAGAAAATGGCTGGTCGTAAAATGGTAATGGTTACCAATCTGCTCCTCTCATCTAAGCTTTTAATACATTTTCAGCAAAATGACGAGGTGAAAATGAACGATTTTTCTATAAGAGATTTTAAGTTGTTTTCGGCGTGTTGTTTTTCTCCATCGCTGTTTTTATAGCCTGGATTATTTACATTGTTTGTGACTAATATTTTCAAGCTACCTATAAACCTTTAAATAACAAATGTAAATCTGATGACAAAATGATATTTTCAAATCATTTTACTTACCTCCTTGATCTCCTTACATTGCTACCTACATTGCTGCTATCGCAGTGAAAAGTTGTAGCTTATGAATGGTGTTTGTCAGAAAACAAAGTTAGAAGGCCGCGACACTATGTTCTATGAAGTACTAGCCAATAAGAATCCATTTATTTCGCAGAAAAACAACTTTTGTTTTTAAAGTAATCTTATCTACCAATGAAAATTAACAACAAGAAATGGGATTAACAAGAAAAACAACTATGCTGTTTGAATGAACGACTACGATCAAAGAACCAATCACATCAAATGTTTTTCATTACCGAGGGAGGTTGATACTTATCCCTCACTAACCTCTCTTGTCATTTCATCGTTATTGAGAACGGAACGAAAGAGCCCTGTCTTAAAGGCCCTATCACACAAGACAACTTTCCTTGCATTTTGTCTCTCAATTTTGATGCTTCGTTGCAAAGTTGCACGAAACGTCATTCGGTCCACGCCTAACAACACCCGGAAATCGAATATGTCTCCAGGAGACGTTTACCTCCCACTCAAGCGCCGAGAAAAGTCGACCCTATTTTACATTGTGCAATGGCAGCTTGATGCAACGAAAGCGTTGCGACTCACGGTTCATTTGTAGAGGGTGTTACACCAGGCAAATGTTTGAGTCTTAACCCGGCAAATCACCTACGAGAGCAGACGCGTTAACATATCCTGGCTTTTGTAAAGCGGCCTGCCAAGAAATCTTCATTTCTGACTGGGTAAACACTAGTTGATAGTGCGTATAAAATATATACACCCAACACATCCTATAAAATATAACCAAGTAAGGTTTTGTATCATATCACCAGCAGCCTAATTAGTCAGACATTAACTCCCTTTAATAGCCGTTTTAAATCTTAAAATGAATTTGGGAGTAAAATCCTAACCCTAAGGCTTTTCTTTTTCAAGATTATGAGATTAAGAAGAATATGTTTAATGTTTGATGAAAATAATAGACAAGTTCTTTTAATAATGCAAACGAGAAATCGATACAGCACAAATGAAAAAGGCTAGGCTTTAAGACAGCAGTCACACGAACCTTTCTAAATTTGACAGCTTATCGACAGTTTTGGTGGAAACGCGGAACGGATGTAGTTGTGAAATTCCGTATCTATCGTGCCCTGAAGGAAATTGTTCTTACTCAACCTCCCCTCCCTCACTTGATTTTTTTTTTTCATGTTGCAGTAGATTGGCGGAGCTATGCTTCCTGTCCTGCTATAACTCGGTCACCATTATGAAAAACTGTTGACTTACCGATTTTGGTGGAGAGTGAGCCTTCGCATGATCACGTAGCACGCATTCTCTCAGTCAAAAATGCAAATAGAAGCAACTGCATTCTAAGGTTCGTAACATCGAAAGAAAACACTAATAAAGCGATTAAACAATAGTCTCGAAAGTCTTCCTACCTGGATAGATACCTTTGGCAAGCAGATAATACATGAATTTGAAGGCAATTTACATTGGACTGAAAAGGCTTGCCCAAATACATCTCAGCAATGACGTTTTGTGTCAAAAAACTTTATGCAAATAATTTGTTAAAAAAATACCACCTGCTTCGCTTTTATGTTTTACTGCATGGGTGTAACAATTATACATTGCATACTTCAGCAATTGGGTGATCAATTTAAAAGGTTAAAAACATTTATTTTACACAAAATTAAAAAAAATACAAATCGGAAGCGGAGAAACTTTAATATTTTACAGCATTGTTCATTTTGTTCTTCAGATTAGA